ATACAATGGAAAAATCAAAAACTTGATAAATTGAAAATGAAAATTTTGAAAAAATACAAATCAACAAACTGGAAAGTCGAAACAATGAATTGAAAAATCAAACTGAATAACTGAAAAAAAGAAGAATTATAAAATTGAAAATTGAAAAATTAAAATACTAGTTTAAAATGGAAAATTTGGAAAATTGGATGGATACCTTTAAAAACGGAAAATTGTATGTAAACAATGACGCTGAAAAATAAAAAACTTGAAGAATTGTAATGGAAATTTTGAAATTTAAAAATCAGAAAACTGAAAAATTGTAAAATTACAAAATTGGTTAATTGTAAACTCGCAAGATTCATTAAACTGTAAAAACGAAAAACTGCAAAATTATTAACTAAAAAATGGAACAATTGAAAAATGAAAAATCGAAACATTGAAAAATTCAGGAATTCCAAAATCGAAAAATTGAAAAATCGAGAATTTGGAAAATTTTAACTGAAATTTGACATTAAAAAATTGCAAATTTGTAAAATTACAAAACTGAAAAATTAGTTGAATGTAAAATTGTAAAATTTTTAAATTGAAAAAATTGTTAATTTTTTTTAATTTCAGTTTCTTCAAATTTTCATTTACAATTTTTCTAGTTTTCGTTTTAATATAATAACTAAGAATTAAAAAAAATCTTTTTCAGTATACGGATTTTAGAATTTTTTCAGTTATTGGATTTTAACACTTTTCATTTAATTTAATTTTCGACTTCACAATTTTATTTTTCGATTTTAGAATGTTTGGGTTTTCCAATTTTTTCAATTCAATTCATTTTTTTTTCTTTCCAATTTTTCGATTCATTAGTTTTTCCAATTTGTAAGTTTCTCGATTTTCCACTTTTTCAATTTTGCAATTTTTCGTTTTTTTCAATTTTTTCTTAACTTTCGAAAAATTTGAACTTGCAAAAATAAATCGAAAAATTGAATAATGGAAAGAGCAAAAAATCCAGAGATCGAAAAAAGGAAATGTCGAGAAATTAAAGGATCAAAATATGGAAAAATTTCAAAACTGACATATTAAAAAATATAAAATCTAACAAAAATTGTAACATCTCAAAATTGAAACTTCGAAAAATTGAGAAATTGAAAAATTGGACAATTGAAGAATCAAAAAGCTGAGAAGCCCAAAACTGAAATATCGAAAAATTGAGAAATCGAAAGTTGAAAAATGGAGAAATATAAAAATCAAGAAGTTTAAAAATTGAACAATAGAAAAATGAAAATAGGCCAAATTCGATAAATTTAAAAATTGGAAAATTCAAAAATCGCGAAACTGACACGTCAAAAATCGAAACATCGAAATCTGGATAAATGTAGGAAAGCAAAAATTGAAAAATCAAAAAATTTAAACACCGAAAAATTGAAAAATCGCAAAACCAAACATTTTAGAATTCGAAAAAAAATTTTTAAAACGAGAAGTCGAACAATCGAAAGATCGAGAAGTCAATAAAATATTATTTTTCAGTTATTGGATTTTAAAACTTATTCGATTATTCGACATTTCAATTTTTCGGTTCTTCAATTTTTAATTTGTATTTACGATCTGCAACTTTTCATTTACGTTCTTTCTTTTCTTACTTTTTTGCAATTTTTCGGTCTTTCAATGTTCTGATTTTATTTAATTTTTAAACTTTTCAATTTTTCGTTTTCTCAGTTTTCATTTTAATGTAATAAAAACTAAAAATTAAAAAAAAAACTTTCTTTTTTGATTTAACAATTTTAGAATTTTTCCATTTAATCGACTTTCAATTTTTCGATTTTTAAGATTTTTGGGTTTTCCAATTTTTCGATTCGTCAATTTTTTTAATTTTTAAGTTCCCCGATTATAAGGTTTTCAATGTTTCAATTTTTCGTTTCGTCAGTCCTTCGATTTTCAATTTTTGGATTTTCAACTTTTTCGGTTTTGCAATTTTTGGTTTTTTCTGAATTTTTAGTTTTTCGATTTTTCAACATTTCGAATTATACTAAGTTGAAAAAATAACTGAAAAAACGAAGAATTATAAAATTGAAAATTGAAAAATTGGAAGGATACTTTCAAAAACGGAAAATTGTATGTAGATAACGAAGCTTGAAGAATGTTAATGGAAATCTTGAAAATAAAAATTAGAAAATTGTAAAATTGTAAAATTAAAAAATTCAAAATTTGCTTAATTGTAAGCTCGCAAGATTTATTAAACTGTAAAAAGGAAAAATTAATAAATTAGTAAATTAAAAAATCCAACAATTGAAAAATGAAAAATCGAAACATTGAAAAATTCTGGAATTCCAAAACCGAAAAATTGAAAAATCGAGAATTTGGAAAATTTGATAAGTGAAACATCAAAAATTGAATAATTGAAAGGACGAAAGATTTTAAAAACGAAGAATCATAAAATTGAAAATTGAGAAATTGATTAATTAAATAATACGAATAATTGACAAATTCGAAAAATCAAAAACTTGAAAATGTTAACTGAAATTTGAACAATTACATTAAAAAATTGAAAATTTGTAAAATTACGAAACTTGCAATTGTTAAATTTTTTAAATTTCAGTTTCTTCAAATTTTGATTTGCAATTTTTCTAGTTTCCATTTTAATGTAATAACTAAGAATTAAAAAAAAATTTTCAGTTTTCGGTTACTAGATTTTAACACTTTTCATTTAATCGGCTTTCGCTTTCTCGATTTTTAATTTTTCATTTCCTCGATTTTTAATTTTTCGATCTTCGAATGTTCCAGTTTTTCGACTTCACAATTTTTCTATTTTAGAATTTTTGAGTTTTCCAATTTTTTCAATTAAATTCATTTTTTCTTCTTTCCAACTTTTGGATTCATCAGTTTTTTGAACTTTTAAGTTCCCCGATTTTCAATGTTTCAGTTTTTAGTTTTTCAATTTTGCAACATTTCGAATTAAAAAGATGGAAAAATTGCAAAATTGTAAAACTGTAAAATTGAAAAATCGACAACGAAAAAACGACGAAGTATAAAATGAAAAATTTGAAAAATCTAAAAATTGGAAACAAGAACAAGAAAAACTGAAGATAAGAAAAATTCAAAATCGAAAGATTAAAACTTTAAAATCGAAAAAGATTGCAAATACATGTGTACATTCTATTTATATCACAAAACAATAAAAAAAAAATACGTACTATGAAAGATTAGTCTGACAAGATTACAATCGAAACAAATACTTTAATTAAATTAAAATATTTCAACACATTTTAAAAGCACTCAAATTATGTCAATCCCAGATTTTCTCTGATGAAACTTGCTTTCCACTGCAATATTTATACATTTTGATGATGAAACCGAAAATTGAAAAATTAATTCCTTAAAAATTGCGCAAATATAATCCTGAAAATCACATTATTTTGAAAATATAAAAATTGAAAAATCTGATAATTGTAAAATCGAAAAAAACTACAAAATTTAAAAATTGCGAAATTATCAAATTGAAAAATTAAAAACTTGAAAAAATGAAAAATTTTGAAAAATTACAAATCAACAAACTGGAAAGTCGAAACAATGAAATTAGGGTAATTGAAAAATCAAAAATTGAATAACTGAAAAAACGAATAATTGACAAATTCGAAAATTGTAGAAATGGAAAATTGAAAAATCAAAAAAGTGTAAAAACGAAAAATTGTAAAAATATTAAATCGAAAAATCAAAAACTTGAAAAATTTTAACCGAAGTTTGACATTAATAAATTGCAAATTTGTAAAATTAAAAAACTGAAAAATTAGTTGAATGTAAAATCGAAAAATTTTTAAATTGTAAAAATTGCAATTCTTAAATTTTTTAAATTTCAGTTTCTTCAAATTTTCATTTGCAATTTTTCTAGTTTTCATTTTAATGTAATGACTAAGAATTAAAAAAAAAATTTTTCAGTTTAAGGATTTTAGAATTTTTCCAGTTTTCGGTTATTGGATTTTAACACTTTTCATTTAATTTAATTTTCGACTTCACAATTTTGTTTTTCGATTTTAGAATTTTTTGGTTTTTGCAATTTTTTCAATTCAATTCGTTTTTTTTCTTTCCAATTTTTCGATTCATTAGTTTTTCCAATTTGTAAATTTCTCGATTTTCCACTTTTTCAATTTCGCAATTTTTCGTTTTTACCAATTTTGCGATTTTTTTTTCTAATTTTTTAGTTTTTCAATTTATAATTTTTCGATTATTTAACATTTTGAATCGAAAAGATGGAAAAATTGTAAAATTGAAAAGTCAAAAATGAAAGAACGAAGACGTATAAAATGAAAAATTTGGGAAATCTAAAATTGGAATTCAAAAACATGAAAAATAGAAGATAAGCAAAATTGACAAACTTAAAAATCACTAGAAAATCGAGGAATTTGACAAATCAAGGATTGAAAAATTGAATAAACGAAAAATTCTAAGATCAAAAGAAAAAAATTAAAGAATCCGGAAAAATAAAAATCAAGCACTTTAAAAATTGACGAAACGAGAAATTTAAAAAATTGGAGGTCGAGAAATTGAGAAATTGAAAAGATTAATGTTGAAAAAACGAAAAATTATGAAATCAAAACATTGAAAAATGCTAATTTTGGAAAATGAAAGAAAATGGAAAAACAAAAAATTATGAAATCAAAAAATAATAAGTTTGATTGTGTAATACAATTTTGATTCTTTTTCCAAAAATCTGGATATCTAGGGTGAAAACTCAACACGATTACTATATTATTATTAATAGCTTAGGAAAGAAGTGTCTTAAATTTTTCGAAATTAATACTATTGACAAATAGTCAAGTTACGCAACGATAAATTTTGCAAAATTTTTATAAAAGCCACAAACAACAAACAATACACTAAGACACACAAACAAGAACAAGGAAAAAATCGAAACGTAACGTCTGAAGATCTTAATCTTTGAAAAACTTGTGAAACGCCTAGACTGATAGTAATTATCATCACAAAAACATTTTTTCCGCCTATATATACCTCATTTTTGAAAACACAAAGTCAAACGAGTCCCACAAGATGAAAACCGTGCCAATAATCGCCTTCACAGTTTTTGCTTTCAATTGCCAAGCAAAAACCCTACACCTCTCCGACGAATTCATAAAATCCATCAACACCAACCAAAAAACCTGGACCGCCGGACGAAACTTCCCTGAAGATACACCTCTAGAAGATTTGAAACGTCTTGTCGGAACTCTCCAAAATCCAAATATTGATACCACCCCGAAAAAAATCCACGACGTGATTCCAGACGACATTCCAGAGTCTTTCGACGGTAGAACATTTTGGACACAATGCGAGTCCCTCAACGACATCCGGAACCAAGGCAACTGTGGTTCTTGCTGGGTAAGCAAACCCCATTGTCAAAAACGTACTAACTAAGAACCACAGGCATTTGGTGCTGTGGAAGCCATCACCGACAGAACCTGCATTAGTTCCAACGGTCGTACCAAAATCAAGTTCTCTCCAGAAGATCTTCTAACTTGTTGTAGCTCCTGTGGGAGCTGTAGCGGCGGCTTTGTGGGTCAAGCGTGGACTTATTGGGTCGAAAACGGACTTGTGTCGGGCGGAGATTACAATTCGAACGAAGTAAGTGTCAAGAAGTTGGTCAAAAAGGTACATTTTTGGGTTTAAGGGGTGTCAACCGTACCAGGAAGACCCGTTCGAAAATGGGGTCACACCTGGATGTTCTACCACTTGTTTGAATACTGATTATAACACGTCGTATGTTGACGATAAGTACTATGGTGGTGATCACTATATGCTAGCGTTGCCAAAAGTAGACCAAATCCAGACCGAGATTTGGCAAAATGGTCCAGTGGAGGTCACTTATACGGTCTATGAAGACTTCTATAGCTACAAATCAGGTATGACGAAGGTACATTTTCGTGCTTGGTCTTTGGTATAACGGGTTTTAGGTGTCTATGTTCATACGTCGGGAGCCACAGTTGGTCTACACGCCGTCAAAATCATTGGCTGGGGTATTGACAATGGAACTCAGTACTGGCTGGTGGCCAACTCGTGGGGAACCACATGGGGCGATTTGGGCGGATTTTTCAAGATACTAAGAGGCGAAGATCATTGTGGAATCGAACGTTGGGTCTATGGCGGCATGCCAAAATTATAATCATGGTTAAAAATAAACATTAAGCAACTAATTAAAACATTATCTTCAATCTTGGAAAAAACATACTTATTGACAACTCTATTGAAATGATTAGCTATCGTGTGAAAATCTAAGTAATTACGCCACTTTAGACATTATCAAACCTATATAACACCGCAACTTTTCCAATCCTGGCAGTTGTATACCAACAACCTTTTTCTTAACCAAAATGACTTTCATACCAAAAATCGTTCTATTTTTCGCCCTTTCGTCACTCTGTCTGGCGAAAGTCGACATTCTCTCGGACGACTTCATATCGTCAATCAACGCCAAGCAAAGCACTTGGATCGCCGGACGTAACTTCCCTGAAGACACTCCACCAGAAAAGCTGAAACGTCTTGCCGGAAGCATCCGTCCCTCCGGAGACGAAAAAATTCCCCTGAAGGTACACAAAGTGGTACCTGAAGCTATCCCCGAGACGTTCGACGGTCGAACATACTGGTCACAATGCGAGTCTTTGAAGAACATTCGAGACCAAGGCAACTGCGGCTCTTGTTGGGTAAGAATACAAATTGTAGTACCTCGGTACTGATATTTCAGCGCAGGCTTTCGGTGGTGTTGAAGCCATCACAGACCGAATCTGTATCGCTTCCAATGGCGCTGTCAAGTTCAAAGCTTCACCTGAAGACGTTTTGACGTGTTGTGGAGAGGCAATGTGTGGGAGCTGCGACGGAGGTACGATTAGTGGTACTTGGCAGTACTGGGTTGAAAGCGGGCTGGTTTCTGGCGGCGATTACAACTCGAACGAGGTAAGAAAGACGTTTCGCAATGCATTAAGTACCTAAAGATTTTTTTGGAAACAGGGTTGCCAACCGTACCAAGCGGATCCTTTCAAAGACAACGTGACCCCCGCTTGTTCTAAGACCTGTCTGAATAGCAACTACGGCACCTCTTACAGTGCGGATAAACACTACGGGAAAAGTCATTACCGAGTTTCCAATGACGTTCAACAAATTCAAACCGAGATTATGCAGGGAGGGCCGGTGGAGGTACATATGATGGTTTACGAAGACTTTTACAGTTACAAATCTGGTAAGCAGGTTAAATGAGGATTTCTTGTTGTGGTGACTGATGAGATTTGATTAGGTGTTTATAGACACACGTCTGGAGATGAATCTGGTGGGCACGCTGTGAAAATTATCGGATGGGGCACCGAGAACGGAACTCCGTATTGGTTGATCGCTAATTCGTGGGGCAGCAGCTGGGCCGATTTGGACGGGTTTTTCAAAATTGTGAGAGGGGAGAATCATTGCGATGTTGAGACGTTTATCTACGCTGGGGAACCTAAGCTGTAATTGTTTTCTTAACTAACAATATTGTATTATTTATAAATAAAAATTTTCTTAAAAAAAAACACAATTTCGCGATTCAGAATTGAATTGAATCCCAAGTTCCTGGACCTAACATATAGCTAAGGTTTTTAGGATATTTTGTTCCTTACTCTCAAAAAAATTGTATCTAACAAAATATTTACAAAAAAAAAAAAAAATACAGAGTGGTCCGAAACTACCAACTCTCACATTGACAATATGAAATATTATTTAAAGTGGATACCAATGGGAAAAAATGCTTTTCAAAAAATCGAAATTTCCGGAAATCGAACAATCGCAAAATTGAAACAACGGAATCTCGATAAAACGACAAATAGTGAAATCAAAAATATTTTTAAATTGAAAAATTGCGGAATCAAAAAATTGAAAAACGAGAATTTGAAAAATCCCACAACTGGAATGTCGAAATTGAAAAAATGAAAAAGTGAAACATCGAAAAATTGGAAAAACGAAAAAAATTGACACATCGAAATAGCCCAAATTCGATAAATAGAATATTCAAAAATTCAAAAATTGGGAAACTGAACACCTGAAAAATCGAAACATCGAAATCTCGATAAACAGAGAAATGCAAAGATTGAAGAATATAAAAAATCGACAAAGTAAAAAATTGAGAAATCGAGAAGTCGAAAAACTGAAAAATAGAGAAATTGAAATCCAAAAAACTTTCGAAAAATTTGAATTTGCAAAAATAAATCGAAAAATTGAATAATCGAAAGAGCAAAAAATCCAGAGATCGAAAAAAGGAAAAGTCGAGAAAATAAAGGATCAAAATATGGAAAAATTTCAAAACTGAAATATTAAAAAAATATAAAATCTAACAAAAATTGTAACATCTCAAAATTGAAACTTCGAAAAATTGAGAAATTGAAAAATTGGACAATTGAAGAATCAAAAAGCTGAAAAGCCCAAAACTGAAATATCGAAAAATTGAGAAATCGAAAGTTGAAAAATAGAGAAATATAAAAATCAAGAAGTTGAAAAATTGAACAATAGAAAAATGAAAATAGCCCAAATTCGATAAATTCAAAAATTGAAAAATTCAAAAATCGCGAAACTGACACGTCAAAAATCGAAACATCGAAATCTGGATAAATGGAGAAAAGCAAAAAATGAAAAATCGCAAAACCAAACATTTCAGAAATCGAAAAAAATTTTTAAAATGAGAAGTCGTACAATCGAAAGATCGAGAAGTCAATACAATATTAAAAAATCTAAAGATGAAAAATATAGAATTTTTATATTTTGAAGAATTGAAATATCGAAAAATTCCAAAACTGAAATATCGAAAAATTCGGTAAACCGAAAACTCCAAAAATTGTATAATCTAAGAAAAATTGGAAAAATGGAGGAAAAATTGAAAAATCCCAAAACTGAAATATCGAAAAATTGAGAACTCGAAAGTTAATAAGCTGAAAAATGGAAACAGAAAACTCAAAATAGCCCAAATTCGATAAAGCGAAAAATTGAAAAATCCAAAAATCTAAAAAACAAAAAGTGGAAAAATTAATGTCGGTAAAACGAAAACTCCAAAAAGTGAAAAATGTACGAAAAACTAAACATTCCAGAACTAAAAACCGAGACATTGAACAAGTGAAAAATCGAACAAAAATTTAAAAACGAGAAGTCGAAAAAACGAATGATATAGAAGTCAATACATCAAAAAATCGAAAAAGTAAAAATTCGCAAAATCGAGAATTCGAAAACTTGAAAAATAGGAATAGAAACACCAAAAATCTAAAATTTAAAAAATCGAAAAATTGAGTAATCGAAAAAACAAAAAATCTAGAAATCAAAAAACGAAAAGTCAAAAAATTGATCGAAATATCCAAAAATTCCAAAACTGCAATAAGAAAAAATGATAAGTCAGTAAACTGAAAACTCAAAAAAGTGGAAAATCGAAAAAAATTGGAACATCCCAAACTGAAACTTCGAAAACTCGAGAAACTGAAAACCTGAAGAATCAAAAAAAACTGCAAAATCCCAAAATATAAACATCGAAAAATTGAGAAATCGAAAGTTGAAAAATCGGCAATAGAAAAGTCGAGAAGTTGAAAAATAGAAAAATCGAAAGAGCCCAAATTCGTTAAAACGAAACATCGAAAAAGTGAAAAATCGAGAAATACATAGAACTGAAAACTGGAAAAATCAAAAAATTGAAAAATCGGGAAATTGAACAAGTGAAAAATCGAAACGTCGAAATCATGATAAATGGAGAAATCCAAAAATTGAAAAATCAAAAAATTTAAACACCGAAAAACTGAAAAATCGAAAAATTAAAAATTTAAGAAATCGAACAAAAATTTAAAAACGAGAAGTCGAAAAAACGAATGATATATAAGTTAATACATCACAAAATTGAAAAATAGAGGAATTGAAACACCAAAAATCTAAAATTTAAAAAATCGAAAAATTGAGTAATCGAAAAAGTAAAAAATCCAGAAATCGAAAAACGAAAAGTCAAAAAATTGATCGAAATAATGAAAAATTGCAAAAGGAAAAACTGATAAGTCGGTAAACTTAAAACTCAAAAAACTGGAAAATCGAAAAAAATTGGAACATCCCAAACTGAAACTTCGAAAAATGGAGAAACTGAAAACCTGAAGATTCAAAAAATTGGAATATCCCAAAACAGAAATATCGAAAACTCGAGAAATCGAAATTTGAAAAATCGAGAAATAGAAAAGTCGGAATGTTGAAAATTTGAAAAATAGAGAAATCGAAGTAGCCCAAATTCGATAAATTGAAACATGAGAAAATTAAAAATCGGGAAATTGAACAACTGAAAGATTGAAACATCGAAATCTATTAATAGAGAAATCCAAAAATGGAAAAATCAAAAAATTTAAGCATCGAAAAATTGAAAACGCGAGAAAAATCTAAAATCAAAAAAATCAAAAAATTGAATAATCAAAAAATATAAAAATCGAAAAAACGGATAGTCGAAATATAGAAAAACTCCAAAACTGAAATATCGAAAAATTGATGAGTCGGTAAATCGAAAACTCAAAAAATTGAGACATCGAAGAAAAATCCCAAAAGGGAAATATCGAAAAATTGAGAAATCGAAAGTTGAAATCCATGGGAAATTGGACAAATGAAAAAACGAAACATCGACATCTATTAATAGGAAAATATAAAAATGGCAAAATAAAAAAATTTAAACATCGAAAAATTGAAAAAGCGAGAAATCGATCCACCAAAAACTTGAAAAATTGAAAAAACAGAAGGTCGAAATATTGAAAACTCAAAAAATTGACATATCGAAGAAAAATTGAAAAATCCCAAAATTCAAATATCGAAATTTCGAAAAATTGAAAAACTGTTATATAATTTTGTTTTTTTTTTTGCAAAAATCCCGGCGTCTAAGGTAAAAATTGAAGATAGGTTCATAAACCAAAAATTCAGGTTTATATTACTTTTTAACATTTAAATAACATGTATTAGACAAAATTCTAAGATTTCAAAGCTTTCGATTTTGCAATTTCAAAGTTAAATTGTAAAATAGTATAAAATTAAAAAGCATTCACAAATAAATCAAAATTATTGAGCAGATCAAAGAATTGTAACAATAATTCAACAAAATTTTTAGTGCAAAGATAATATTGTTAAAAAAAACCTTGACTAAAGTAAAACAAAATTGTTGAGATATTTATAAGTTGATTATTTATCCACGAAAGATCACTATCTAAATGAGCACAATTGTATCTAAGAAGTATTTACAAATAAAAATATACAGGCTGGACCGAATTTTCCAACACTCCAGTTAACGCATCAGAATAATTGCACCAATTTAAGTGGATTGACAACCATTATTATTATTATTATTATTCGTACTAGCTCCATTCAATTAATTGCTCTATCGACATCACACCCAAATTTACGTACAACATATCACCAACCTTAACTTCCAGACATTCTGTATATAATTAGTAATCACCCATACTGATCAAATGACATCATTTATTTTGAAAAATTGTATAAATGTTATCAAATCAATCACGAATAACTTTTAGACTTTCCCACTTGACTTATACTTCCAAACGACTATATAACAGAAAATTTTGCCAAGTACTGCCAGTCTTCCTCTACCAAGCCAAGTGTATAAAGATGGATCTGAAAAAGACTAAACGTGAATCCTTAAAGCACCTTTGGAGCCAAGCGGTTTTGGATCTTGTTGGGTAAGACCATGAAAGAATTTAAACCCAATACTGGATTTACTGGATGGGGTACTGAAAATGGAACTCCGTACTGTTTGATTGCTAATCGTGGGTCTGTGGGGACCACCCAAACGATAATACATTTATTTGAGGAAAAACTGAGTCAACTTATTGTAGTTTGAAGACATTCAACGATCTAAAAACTTGATTAAAATAGAACAAAATAGTTGAGATATATACAAGTTGTTTATTTATCCAGGAAAGATCACTATCGTACAGATCATACGCAATTTGATCAAACAATTGTATCACGTCACTACGTACTTAGAAAAACTATACAGCTTGGATTGAAACTTACAACCCCTAAAATATCATACCAGAATATTTACACTGTTGTAATACTGAGTACATTAAGTAGTACCGTATTCACAGCAGCTACATTCTCTGATTTATTTACACCACCATTGGACTGGGTAAGACCATGAGAGAATTTAAGACCCGTAATTAAAGAACGTAATCAAACGGCGCAGTCAAATTCAAGGCTTGCTGCGGTACTAACGTGTGCGGAACTTGTGGTAAAGGGTACGTCGATCAAGCGTGGAAGTACTGGGTTGATCATGGTCTGGTTTCGGGAGGAGATCACAACTCCAACGAAGTAAGTACTACTGGTACCACTTTTCTTATACGACGGTTTTTGAACAAGGGTGGTCTACCGTACCTTGACACCAACTCTCACGCCTGTCAGACGTCTTGTACGAACACCAACTACACCAAGTCATACCGTGCGGACAAACACTACGGAAAAGAGTACTACAGACTGTCGAACGCAGTGGAACAAATTCAAACCGAAATTATGAATCATGGACCGGTGGAAGTTACCTTTACGGTGTACACTGATTTTTACAACTACAAGTCGGGTAAGAGGGTACTTTGGAGTTTGTTGTTGTAGTAATGGAGGGTTTAGGGGTTTATGTACACACTTCTGGATACGCTAATGAAGGACATGCTGTCAAAGTTATTGGATGGGGTACCGAAAATAACACCCCGTATTGGCTGATTGCTAACTCGTGGGGCACCGGATGGGGTGACTTGGGAGGATTTTTCAAAAGACTGAGAGGCCAGAACCATTGTGGGATTGAATCGGTGGTGTACGGTGGTACGCCGGTAAGGTACTACGGGTAGAGCACACATTGTGTCAATTTGTAGTTTCAGGAGATTAAATAAAAACATTTTTTGATCAGTATGGTTATCTTAAGTTATCGTATTATCGTTATCTAATCTTAAAAACAAAGAAAAAATTGACTGATACTCATGACCACTACAGTACGAAAAAAGTAGTCTACCGTTCCCGTTTGTCCGTCTGTCTCTGTCGTCTGTTTCAATTTTTATTAGACACATCTCCGAAATTATTATTGTCACATTTTGTATGTATATTAGGAATGTCATATTGATGGTAAAACGCTAACCAAAATTTGACTAATCAACCACCAATGGGATCATATATTTTTTTAAATTTATAAATTAATATACTCCTGGACCGTGTTAAGTTTTCACCTTTCACATCCAGATTTTTGTAAAAAAAAAATTAAATTTTTTGACATCACAGTTTTTTGTTTTTCCATTTTTTTCGACTTTATAATTTTTTCATATCACAATTTTTCGTTTTTTCAATTTATTTCGTTTTACAATTTTTCCATTGATCAATGTTTCGGTTTGATAATTTTTCGTATTTTCAACTTCAATTCTTTCAATTTTTAAATTTCTTGTGTTCCAAATTTTTCAATTTTTCCTTTCTTCAATTTTTCAAGTTTATCTGTATTTTGTATCAAAATTTTTCGTTTTTTCATTTCCTTTTTCAACGTTTCTTTCGATTGTATAATTTTTCGTTTATTCAATTTTTCATATTTTCAATCTTCGCAATTTTTGGATTTCCAGTTATCAGAATTTCTGATTTCTTTAATTTTCAATATTTCGACTTTATAAATACATATGTACTTTGTTTTTCCGATTTTTAAGTTTTTCAATTTTTAGTTTTTCGTTTTTTCATTTTTGATTTTTCGAATTCAAAATTTTACAATTTTTTTTTTGGAGTCGAAAAGTTGAAAAAACTGGAAACACAAAAATCGCATAATCGAAAAACTGAAGAAACAAAAAATTGAAACACTGAAAAAGTAAAAATCCGGAAAATTAGTGAATCGAAAAATTGGAAAACTCAAAAAATTATAGAATCGTCAAAATTGTATGTAAGGTCGAAAACTTTAAAAATTAAATATCAAGAAACTAAAAAAATGAAAAAGTTTTAATTAAACAATTCAAAAATGAGAAAATTCTAAAACAGTGGAACTGAAACTAGAAAAATTGCAAATCAAAAATTGAAGAAACAAAAAATTGAAAAATCGGGAAACTGAAAAACCTAAAATTGACAACACGAAAAATTATAAAATCCGAACATTGAAAAACTGAATTTTAAAATTGAACAAAATTAATAAATCGAAAAATCGGAAAACTGGAAAATCGGAACTGAACAACCGAAAAATCTTGAGAAATCGAAAGAATAAAAAATTAAAAAATCTCAAACCGAAAATTCCGAATTTAATATTTTAAAATTGGAAAAATTAAATAGAAAAGTCTAAGAATTGAAAAATCGAGGAATCGAAAAACAAATACTTTAAAAAATCAAAAAATTGAAAAATCCCAAAAATGACATACGAAAAATCGAAAACTTGCGAGCGCCAAAAATTGGAAAATTGAAAAAAACTGAAAAATCGAAAAACCGAAAAACTGAGAAATCGAAAAATCGAAACATGGAGAAATCGAGAAAATGAAAAATCGGAAAATTGAAATAGCCCAAAATCGAAAAACTAATAGTGAAAAATAATTGAAAAATTTAAAATTTATGAAAAATTGAAAAACTGGGAAACTGAAAAATTGAAAAATCGAAATCTGAATGATTCCAGATTTCGAGAAATTGAAAAATTGAAAATCGAAAAATTGAAAAAAATTGAAAAATCCAAAAACCGAAAAATCGAAAAATCAAAAAATTAAAAATTTTAAAAGCCACAAATTAAAAAATCTAAAACCGAAATCGAAAAATCCGGCAATTGAAAAACCGAGAGGTCGTGAAATCGAAAATTCGAAAAATTGGAATATTAAAAACTTTAAAAATCAGGGAATTAAGACAAAAAATCGTAAAATCGAAAATTTATAATCGAAATAAATCGAAAGATTGAAATAATGAAATATCCCAAAAGAGATATACTGAGAAATCCTGAAATTGAAAAATCGAAAACGCAAAAAACTGAAAAATTGAAAAAATCTAAAAATGTGAAATTTAAGAAATCGACAAATCAAAAAAACAAAGAGCTGAAATATCAAAAAAACAAGAAATCCTGAAACTAAAAAATCGCCAAACTGAATTCTCGAGGAATTAGGAAATCGAAAACTCGAAAATTCGAAAAATCAAAAAACCAAAAAATTGAAAATCTAAACAGAAAAGATTGAGAAATTGAAAAAGCCCAAAATTGGAAAATTAATAGTCAAAAAACTGAAAGTATTAAACTCGGGAAATTGAAGAATAGATACATCGAAACATCAAAAAATCTTGAAAAGTCGAGAAATCAATAAAAAAATCAATTTCACTGCAATTTTTCGTTTTCTCATTTTTTCAAATTATTGATTTTTATTTCTTATGTTCCCGATTTTTAAATTTTCTCGATTTAATGTCACAATTTTTCGTTTCTTCATTTCCTTTATTTTCTCAAAGTTTCTTTCGAATTTATGAATTTTGGTTTATTCAAACTTTCAAATTTTTTAATATTTCAATTTTGCAATTTTTGATTTCCAGTTATCCGATTTTCCGATTTCTTTAGTTTTCAATATTTCCACACATATTTCGTTCTTTTTTTTTCAAATTTTAAATTTCTCAATTTTTAATCCATCGATTTTAGAATTTTTCGTTTCTTCAATTTTTCAAATTCTTGATTTGCATTTTTTAGATTTTTCAAAGTTTTCATTTTATACATTTTCGTTTTTCCATTTTTGATTTTTCAATTTTACAATGCGCTTTTTCCTTTTTTTTATTCGAAAATTTGAAGTCGAAAAATTAAAAATCAAAACAAAAAATCGGAAAAATCTGAAAAATCTAAAAACCGAAAAAAGTAAAATTGCAAATTCCGAAAATTGGAAAACCCAAAAATTGTAGAATCGAAAAATTATATAATCGCCAAAATTATAAAGTCAAAAAATTGTAACGCTGAAAGACTGAAAAATTGAAGAATTAAATGTCAAGAAACCGAAAAATTAAAATCAAAAAATTAAAAATTGAAAAAGGAAAAAATCGAAAAATTTGAAAAATGAAAAACTGAAAACTCGTACAATTGCAAATCGAAAAATTAAAAAATCTAAAAATGTCAAATTTAAGAAATCGAAAAATTCAAAAACCGAAAAACTAAAATATCAAAAAAACGAGAAATACACAAACTGAAAAATCTCCAAATTGAATTCTCGAAAAATTGGGAAATCGAAAAATTGAAAAATCAAAACATCGAAAATCAATTTGAAAAATCAAAAAACCAAGAAATCGAAAAACAGAAAGAAACATCAAGAATCGAAACAGAAAATACAGAGAAATTGAAAAAGCCCAAAATTGAAAAATTAATAGTAGAAAAACTGAAAATTTTAAAATTCAACAAGATCAATAAATCGAAAAATCGGAAAACTGAAAACTCGGGAAATTGAACAACAGAAAAATCGAAACATGAAATCTTGAAAAATTGATTTGCAATTTTTCAATTTTCAATTTTTCGGTTCCTCAATTTTTCAAGTCCTTGATTTTTATTTTTCATTTTTCCGATTTTTTAATTTTCTCGATTTCATATCACAATTTTTCGTTTTTTATTTCCTTTACTTCCTTTAGTTCCTTATTTTAGAATTTTTCGTTTCTTCAATTTTTCAAATTCTTGATTTGCATATTTTAGAATTTTCGAAGCTTTCATTTTATACATTTTCATTTTTGGTTTCTGATTTTTCAATTTTAGAATTTTGCAACTTTTCCGTTTCTTTATTCGAAAAGTTGCAAAGTCGAAAAATTAAAAATCGAAAAACAAAAAATCGGAAAAATTTGAAAAATCTAAAAACTGAAAAAATAAAATTGCAAATTCCGAAAATTGGAAAACCCAAAAACGGTAGAATCGAAAAATTATATATAACTGTAAAAATTAAAAAGTCAAAAAACTGTAACACTCAAAAAAATTGAAGAATTGAATATCAAGATATTGAAAAATTAAAAATCAAAAAATTAAAAATTGAAAAATGGAAAAATCGAAAAATTTGAAAAAAGAAAAACTGCAAACTTGTAAAATTGCAAAATATGAAAAACTGGAAAATTGGAAACTCGAGAAACAACAAAATATAGACGACAGAACGTCACCTGTGGTACTACTTAACAATGGTACGACCTTCATCGACAAACCTTCCCTTCATTATCAGAGCGATCTCCACGTACTCAACATTACAATAAAACTGACATTGTTTCAAAAACCACAAAGAACACCTTCAAGAACCACCACTGGTACCACCCGTATATAAACCCCAGTACTCGCGTCAATCCCCAGTTTCAAACCCACTTTCAAAAAATGAAGACCAATTTAGTCATAATAGTGTCCACTCTGACAATGTGTCTGGCCACCAGAGACATCTTCTCCGAATTATTTATCAACTATATCAACTTGAAACAAACGTCTTGGATCGCTGGGCTAAATTTCCCTCAAGACACACCTGTAGAGGTACTACAGCGTCGAAATGGAGCTCGTCTGGACGAAGACTTCTACAACAACCTCGAGGTTAAAGTCCACAATATCACAGACGAAATTCCGGAACAGTTTGATAGTCGTACCAAGTGGCCACAGTGCGAGTCCTTGGCAAGTATAAGAGATCAAGGACATTGTGGTTCGTGTTGGGTAAGTACCACGTCTTGTGTCTTTATTTTTTCATTTGTCTATGGTAATTAATAGGCATTCGGGGCTGCGGCAGCCATGACCGATCGACTCTGCATTGCCACCAATGGTACCACCAAATTCCAATTTTCACCCGAAGATTTACTATCGTGTTGTACAGATTGTGGCAATGGGTGTGATGGGGGCTACTCGAGTAGAGCTTGGAGCTACTGGGTCGATAATGGTGTGGTTTCAGGAGGGGACTACAACTCAAACTCTGTAAGTCACCAGTTAAAAAAAAACGTGTTACAATGGTACTACGGAATTACAGGGCTGTCAACCCTACTCCAAAGCACCCTACGAAAAGAGCGCAACCCCTCAATGTACCACCACGTGCCTCAACACCCACTACCCAACTTCATATTCAGAAGACAAACACTATGGTAGTACCAATTACAAAATCGAGCAAGATGTTCAACAAATTCAAGCGGAGATCATGACCAGTGGACCAGTTCAAGCCAGTTATGCGGTTTTTGACGACTTCTACAATTACAAGTCAGGTGAGGTACCACCAGAGGGAACAAGTCGGTTCTGATACGTTTTGCAGGTGTCTATCAACACACAATTGGGGAACAATCTGGTCATCACGCTGTCAAGATCGTGGGTTGGGGGGTCGAAAATGGTATTCCGTATTGGTTGGTGGCCAACTCGTGGGGCGTCAAATGGGGGCATCTGGGTGGGTTTTTTAAGATTCTGAGAGGAGAAAATCACTGCGGGATCGAACAAAACATCCTTGGTGGAGAACCGAAAGTATAGGAGCGTTGTTATTATTATTATTATTGTTATTATTATTTCGTATTTTTTGCCTTTGTAGCCCTAAATGTAGACAATTAAGGAATGTTTTTTCTATTTAATTATTTAGAAATAAAAAATTCAACAAAATTTACAAGTACTATAGCTGTGAGGGTATTAGGCTTCTCCGCCTCCTCTCTGCGGGTTCTCATAATCAAACACGGCTGTGTCGCCCAGTTCATCGCCACCTATCTTTCGGGCATAATTAAACCAAACACTAAGCCCGTCCCTTACCTTTCTTAATCTCGTTATTGTTGTTTATTTTGTCGATTCGCCGTAATCCCGAGCCATAAACTACCAACTTTACAACAATAATCTTTCGGTGAACGACGCTAATAAAGCGGAGAAATTCGCGCGAATTAGCAGGGCCCAAGCAAATGTCAACCACTTTTCCCGCAAGCCGGGTGCGTGGGCCCAGGTACCGTAAAAACTGGCACATCTGTGGCCGAATGACAGACAATTCGGGAGATTTCGGCTTTATCTTATCGCGTTTGGAAACAAAAGCAAGAAAATGCGTCGCAATTTAATCGAAGGTCACTGAACCACCAATCAAGCGACATATCACGGCAGACATGGCGTGCACATTGCACCAGTCTGGTTCGATCCTCCATTAGGAGGAAGCGGGGAAGTGCAGTCGGGTTTACGACGCGCCGTTTCCGAGAGGAGCGTAGTTATATGTAAAATGAATTATGAATCGGGGCGTCGCAGGGTGGGATGCAGCGGGAACAAGTGGCCGAAATTGTTGAAATTGGTCGGGGTTGTTTCGACGGAACTTCCCTCGTTCTTGGAGGTGGCTCCACAAATTTCGCTTCTTTGAAAAATGGTTATAAAAATTGTTTGCGATTTTTTTGACTTGAATTTTTCAATTCGTCAATTTAGATTTTATCCGATTGCAATTTTTCGCGTTTTTAAGTTAACATTTCTGTTTTTCAATTTTCAAACTATGAATGTTTCAGTATTTAGATTTTGCAATCTCTCGATTTGAGTTTCTCGAGTTTTCAATTTTTCGACTTGCAATTTTTCGTTTCCGTTTTTTATTTTCTTTATTATTTCAATTAATAGATTTTTCAATGTTCCGGTTTTATTATTTTTTGTGTTTTCAATTTTTAATTTTTCAGTTTTCCACTTTTTTAATTTTTCGATTTACTTGTTTTGAATTTTTCCTTTTTTCTTGTTTGTTCAATTTTCTCTTCGTTTTCATTTTCAAACCTTTCAGTTCTTCCATTTTCCAACCCCTCTAGATGTTTCAAGCTTGAGATTTTGGAATTTTTTGATCTTTCCATTTTTCATGTCTTCAATTTTTCGATTTGTAATTTTTCAATTCTTCATTTTTTTTCTTCAATTTTACATGATTTTTCTTTTTAAATTTTTCAGTTTTAATCGATTTTACAAATTCTGTATGTTTGAATTTTTGGATTTTGCAATTTACAATTTTCAACTTTTCAATTTTCCGGTTTTTAAGGTACTAATTTTTTAATTTCTTTTAAATGTGAAATTTTTCAATTTTAGGATTTTTCCATTTTTCGTATTTTCCGTTTTTCTAGTTTTCATTTTAAATATATAATAATAATAATAATTTTTTAAATATTCCACTTTTCCAATTTTACGAATTTAAAATTTTTCAGTTTTTTTAAACTTTTTCATTCATTCGACTTTTCCATTTTTCTTTTCTTCAATGTGAAATTTTTCAACTTTTGTATTTTCGAGATTTTCGACTTGCAGTTTTTGGATTTTTCATTTTTCATTTTTTCAATTTTAGATTTGCATTTTTCTAGTTATCATTTAAAAAAATCATGATTTTTAAAATGTCTTTTTTTCAATTTTACGATTTTAGAATTTTTCCACTTTTGAATTTTTGGATTTTAAAGTTTTTTCATTTATTCGACTTTTCAATTTTCCATTTCTTCAAATTTTCGATTTACGATTTTTCGTTTCGGTTTATTCTTTCAGTTCTACATGACTCCGACTTTTCTTCATAAAGTTTTCAGTCTTTGTCGACTTTCCAAATTTTGGATGTTGAATTTTTGGTTTTGCAATTTTTTCGATTTACAATTTTACGAGTTTTCAATTTTTAAATTATCAAATTTCGACTTTTCAATTTTTCTATTTGCAATTTTTTGTTTCAGTTTTGTTTTTTTTTTATTTTTTTCCATTTTCTTTTTAAATTTTTCAGTTTTAGTCGATTTACCAAATTTTGGGTGTTTGAATTTTTCGATTTTGCAATTTTTTTGATTTACGGCAGGAATTTTTTATTTTTAAATTATCAATTTTCGACTTTTCACTTTTTCGGTTGACGAAGTTTTTGTTTCAGTTTTTTTTATTTCCTTTATTTTTTTTCAATTCCGGCTTTCAAGGTATTAATTTTAAATTTTTCTTTTTTAAATAAGAAATTTTTCAATATTTGGATTTTTCAGTATTTCGATTTGCAATCTTTAGATTTTTAATTTTTCATTTTTCAATTTTTGATTTGCAATTTTTCTAGTTTTCATTTTAAATATATATGTAATAATAACAATTTTTTAAATACTTCACTTTTTCAGTTTTACAAATTTAGAACTTTTCCATTTTTCAATTATCGGATTTTAAACCTTTTTCATTTTTTCATCTTTTCAATTTTTCTATTTTTCAACGTTCTGATTTTATAATTTTTTGTTTTCTCAATTTCAATTTGTTCAATTTTTCGTTTCTTCAATTTTTCGATTTGCAATATTTTTGTCATTTTTCTTCATTTTACGATATGCAACTTTTTGAGTTTTCATTCTTCTATTTTTCAGCTTTTCGATTTTCCTACCTTTGGATGTTTCAATTCGAAGGTAATTTTTCCATTTTTCGACTTCCATTTTTAATATTTTCAATTTTTCGATTTGTAATTTTTCGTTCCGGCTTTTATTTTCTTTATTTTTTTCAATGTTGTGGTTTTATAAGTTTTTTTTTATTAAATGCGAAATTATTCGATTTTCAACTTTTCATTTTTTTTCTTTAATTTTACATGACTTTTCTTTTTAAATTTTTCAGTTTTAGTCGATTTTCCAAATTTTGGGTGTTTGAATTTTTCGATTTTGCAATTTTTTTTATTTAAGTCAGGAATTTTTTATTTTTAAATTATCAATTTTCGACATTTCACTTTTTCGGTTGGCGAAGTTTTTGTTTCAGTTTTTTTTAATTCCTTTATTTTTTTTCAATTCCGGCTTTCAAGGTATTAATTTTAAATTTTTCTTTTTTAAATGAGAAATTTTTCAATTTTTGGATTTTTCAGTATTTCGATTTGCAATCTTTAGACCCGATTTACAGAAAGCGAAGTTAAAGTTAATTCGCGATTAACTTTTAACTGAGGTCCGTTGCCAGGTAACGCGGATATTTTAACCAATCACGGGGATATTTTAACCAATCACGGACTCATATTCCACATTTTAATTCTCTGTTAAACTAATCGAGGATTAAATATTTAACTCGCTGTTTTATAAACCGGCCCTTAGATTTTTAATTTTTCATTTTTCAATTTTTGATTTGCAATTTTTCTAGTTTTCATTTTAAATACATATGTAATAATAATATTTTTTTAAATACTTCACTTTTTCAGTTTTACAAATTTAGAACTTTTCCATTTTTCAATTATCAGATTTTAAATCTTTCATTTATTCAAGTTTTCAATTTTTCGATTTTTCAACGTTCTGATTCTATAATTTTTTGTTTTTCCAACTTCAATTGCTCAATTTTTCGTTTCTTTAATTTTTCGATTTGCAATTTTTTTTGTCATTTTTGTTCATTTTACGATATGCAACTTTTTGAGTTTTCATTTTTCTATTTTTCAGTTTTTCGATTTTCCTACGTTTTTTCGATTTTCAAGCTACTATTTTTAAACTTTTCTTTTTTAAATGTGAAAATTTTCATTTTTGGATTTTTCAGTTGCATGATTTTTCAATTTTTCGTTTTTTCATTTTTTGATTTGCAAATTTTCTAGTTTTCATTTTAAATACATATTATGTAATAATACTTCTTTAAATACTTCACTCTTTCAGTTTTACAGATTTAGAACTTTTTCATTTTTCAATTATCGGATTTTGAACGCTTTTCATTTATTCAAGTTTTCAATTTTTCGATTTTTCAACGTTCTGATTCTCTAATTTTTTGTTTTTTTAATTTCAATTTGTTCAATTTTTCGTCTCTTCAATTTTTCGATTTGCAATTTTTGTTCATTTTACGATATGCAACTTTTTGAGTTTTCATTTTTCTATTTTTCAGTTTTTCGATTTTCCAACGTTTGGATGTTTCAATTGGTTTTTCGTTTTTCGACTTCCATTTTTCATGTTTTCAATTTTTCCATTTGTAATTTTTCGTTCCAGTTTTTATTTTCTTTATTTTTTTCAATTTTCCAGTTTTCAATGTTCTGGTTTTATAAGTTTTCTTTTATTAACTGCGAAATTTTTCGATTTTCAACTTTTCATTTTTTTTTTCTTTAATTTAAAAAGAAAAGTCATGTATTTTCTTCGATTTAGGTCAGGAACTTTTTATTTTTAAATTATCAATTTTCGACTTTTCACTTTTTCGGTTGGCAAGTTTTTCTTTCAGTTTTTTATTTTCTTTTTTTTATTCCGGTTTTCAAGGCATTAATTTTAAATTTTTCTTTTTTAAATTTTAGATTTTTCAATTCTTCAAATTTTCAATTTACAATTTTCCGTTTCGGTTTATTTTCTTTACTTTTACAATTTTTGGATTTTTCAGTGTTCCGAAATTATGTCTTTTGTTTTTAAGATTGTCAGTTTTTCGATTTTCCAACGTTTGGATGTTTCAGTCAATTCTTAATTTTTCAATTTATTGATTTTTCAATTTTTCACATTTTTGATTCGCAATTTTTCTAGTTTTCATTTTAAATGTGTAATAATAATTATAATTAAAAAATCCTTTTTCAATAAACTGTACTATTTTAGAATTTTCCCATTTTTAAAATAATTGATTTTAACTTTTTCATTTACTCGATTTTCCAGTTGTTCGATTCTTAGTTTTTTATTTTTAGTTTTTTAATCTCTCGATATTTAATTTTTTAATTTTTCGATCTCTCAAGTTACACTTTTTGGACTCTTGACGATTCTATAATTTTCCGATTTTACAATTTTTGGTTTTTTTAATTTTTCGATTCGATTCGTTTTCTTCTTTCGATTCATTGATTTTTTTCGATTGTTAGTTTTTCAATTTTTCATTTCGTCAATTCTTCGATTTTCAATT